ACTTATTATATGACTTATACACTTATTTACCAAATCCAATTGATGTCCATCATGTTAATAGCATGTAAAATATTATAATTAGCCTACCTGGAACCATGAAATCCTAAATTACTTAGCAAAATTTTCCGGGGCATTACAAGTGGTAATGCTCTCTTCGGGGTCATGGATCTGTACCATGAACTGAAATCCAACACGTGCGATGGATCCTTAACATTATAATTGCCACTGACTCCTCAACATAAGATAGATCCTTGTCCAACTGGACTGAGCTGAAATCCAACACGTGCGATGGATCACCGTGATACCTCCGGAGCATCGAAACATGAAATACCGGATGAACTCCTGCCAGGCTGGGAGGTAGGGAAAGCTCATAAGCAACCTCTCCAACATGCTTCAATATCTCAAAAGGTCCAATAAACCTCAGACTCAACTTCCCTTTCTTCCCAAATCTCATAACGCCCTTTATAGGCGAAACCCGAAGTACAACCCGCTCTCCAACCATGTAGGAAACATCATGAACCTTCCGGTCCGCGTAACTCTTCTGTCTAGACTGGGGGAGTCTATCCTGAATCACCTTAACCTTCTCCAAAGCGTCCTGAACCAAGTCTGTGCCTAATAATCTGGCCTTACCCGCCTCAAACCAACCCACCGGGGATCTACACTGCCTATCATATAAAGCCTCATATGGTGCCATCTGAATGCTAGACTGATAGCTGTTGTTGTAAGCAAACTCCGCCAATGGAAAGAACTGATCCCAATACCTTCCAAACTCAATCACACACGCACGGAGTATATCCTCAAGAATCTGAATAGTGTGCTCGGACTGTCCGTCCGTCTGAGGGTGAAATGTTGTACTCAACTCCACCCGAGTACCCAACTCGTGCTGAACGGCCCTCCAAAATCGTGAAGTGAACTGAGTACCTCTATCTGAAATGATGGAAACTGGAATACCATGCAAAAAACGAACAATCTCCCGGATATAAATCTCCGCCAACCGCTCCGAAAAATAGGTAGTACACACAGGAATGAAGTGTGCGAACTTGGTCAGCCGATCCATAATCACCCAAATGGCATCGAACTTCCTCAAAGTCCATGGGAGCCCAACTATAAAGTCCATGGTGATCCGCTCCCACTTCAACTCCGGAATCTCTATCTGCTGAAGCAACCCTCCCGGTCTTTTGTGCCCATACTTCACCTGCTGACAATTGAGGCACCAAGCTACAAATCCAACTATATCTTTCTTCATCCGCCTCCACCAATAGTGCTACCTCAAATCCTGATACATCTTCACGACACCCGGATGAATGGAATACCGCGAATATGGGCCTCCTCTAGAATCAACTCCCGAAGCCCATCAACATTGGGTACACAAATCCGACCCTGCATCCTCAATACCCCATCATCACCAATAGTCACATCTCTAGCATCACCATGCTGAACCTTGTCCTTGAGGACAAGAAAATGAGGGTCATCATACTGACGCTTCCTGATACGATCAAATAAGGAAGACTGAGAAACCATGCAAGCTAGAACCTGACTGGGCTCCGAAAGATCCAATCTCACAAACTAGCTGGCTAAGGCTTGAACATCCATCGCCATAGGCCTCTCCGATACTGGTAAATAAGCTAAACTCCACAAACTCTCTGCCCGGCGACTCAAGGCATCGGCCACCACATTGGCCTTACCCGGGTGATACAAAATGGTGATATCATAGTCCTTCAGCAACTCTAACCACCTCCTCTGGCGCAAATTTAGATCCTTTTGCTTGAACAGGTGCTGCAAGCTCCGATGATCAGTATAAATCTCACAAGGGACACCGTACAAATAATGACGCCATATCTTCAGAGCGTGAACAATGGCATCTAGCTCAAGATCATGAACAAGGTAATTCTTCTCATGCACCTTCAACTGTCTGCATGCATAGGCAATCACCCTATTGTCCTGCATCAAAACCGCTCCAAGGCCAATCATCGAGGCATTACAATAGATAGTGTAAGACCCAGAACCTATAGGCAGTATCAAAATTAGGGTTGTAGTCAAAGTTGTCTTGAGCTTCTGAAAGCTCGCCTCACACTCTTCCATCCACTGGAATGGAGCACCCTTCTAGGTCAGTCTGGTCATAGGGGCTGCAATCGATGAAAACCACTCCACATAATGACAGTAGTAACCCGCCAAACCAAGAAAAATGTGGATCTCTATAGCTGAGGATGGTCTGGGACAACTCTACACTGCCTCTACTTTCTTCGGATCCACCTGAATACCCTCACTCGATACCACGTGGCCTAAGAATGCAACAGAATCCAACCAAAACTCACATTTTGAGAACTTTGCATATAACTTCTTTTCCCTCAGAGTCTAGAGCACTGTCCTCAGGTGCTGCTCATGATCTTCCCGACTCTGAGAATACATCAGAATATCATCAATAAAGACAATGTCGAACGAGTCAAGATATAACCGGAACACATTGTGCATCAAATGCATAAAGACTGCTGGGGCATTGGTCAGCCCAAATGACATAACAAGGAACTCGTAATGACCATACCGAGTCCTGAAAGCAGTCTTCGAGATATCTGGCTTCCGAATCTTCAACTGATGGTTACCTGAGCATAAGTTAATCTTAGAAAACACTCGTACACCCTGAAGATGGTCAAACGGATCATCAATACGAGGCAAAGGATAACAGTTCTTCACTGTAACTTTTTTCAACTGGCGATAATCAATACACATGCATAGAACCATCCTTTTTCTTCACAAACAAGATAGTAGCACCCCAAGGTGATACACTAGGCCGAATAAAACCCTTATCAAGCAATTCCTGTAACTGATCCTTCAACTCCATCAACTCAGGAGGAGCCATATGATACGGGGGGATAGAAATAGGCTGAGTGCCCGGATACAGATTAATGCCGAAATCAATATCTCTATCAGGCGACATGCATGGAAGATCAGCTGGAAACACATCAGGAAAATCCCGTACTACTGGGACTGAATCAACTGAAGGGGTATCAATACTGACATCTCTCACATAAGCTAAATACGTGTCACACCCTTTCTCAACCATTCGTTGAGCCTTAAGGAAAAAATTAACTCTACTGGGAGTGTGATCTAAAATACTCTTCCACTCAACACGCGGTACACCTGGCATAGCCATCGTCACGGTTTTGGTGTGACAATCAAGAATAGCATAATGGGGCGACAACCAGTTCATGCCCAATATAATATCAAAATCTACTATGCTGAGCAACAATAAATCAGCTCTGTTCTAAAAACCACTAAGAGCGACCAAACACGATCGATAAATGCGGTCCATAACAAGAGAATCTTCCATAGGAGTAAAAACATAAACAAAGGAACTCAAAGAATCCCGAGGTACACCCAAATGCAAAGAAAAATAAGAAGACACATAAGAGTAAGTGGAGCCTGGATCAAATAGAACCGATGCATCTCTGTGACAAACCGGTATAATACCTGTGATGATAGAATCGGAGGCAACAGCCTCGGTACAGGCAGGAAGGGCATAGTATCGGGCCTGGCCTCCCCCTCTAGGGCGACCTCTACCTCCCCGACCTCCAACTCTAGCTGGCTGAGTAGGTGGGGTATCAACTAGAGTTGTAACCATAGCCTGAGAACTCTGCGGGGTATCCTGTGGATGAGAAGTCTTTGGAGGCACACTCCTCCCAAGTCTAGGGCAATCCCTCACCACATGGCATGTGTCACCATACTCAAAACAAGCTCTGGGAGGACGTGGCAGTTGTGACTGGCTCAGGCCAGGTCTGCTGGACTGACCTCAGAAAGCACCCCACGCAGGAGGCAAGCTAGATACCGGAAGTGCATAATAAGGGTCTTGAGGCCTAGGAGGAGCTGGAATATCACTGGCTGTTGGAAGAGCCGAATGAATAGAGAGACTCATATAACCCCTACCATGATGACCTATAGCTGGGGCACGAGCACCAGAATAATGACCCGACTCTCGAGACCTCTTGGCCTCCCTCTCCTCTCTCTCCCTAACATGCATACCCTCAATCCTCGTAGCAATTCTTACCACCCGCTGATAAGAAATATCCATCTCCAACTCATGATCTATGCTAGACCTGATGCTGGGAATAAGCCCCTCAATATATCGGCGAACCCTCTCACGAACAGTAGAAACCAAGGCTGGGGCATATCTAGCCAAACTGGTGTAACAGATAGCATACTCCGAGACAGTTATAGCACCCTGGCACAAATGCTCAAACTCTCCGTGCCATTCATCCCTGAGGCTCTGAGGAACAAACACCCTCAGGAATATATCCAAAAACTGAGTCCAAGTCAATGAAGCTGCCTCATCCGGACTGTCTAACTCATAAGTATGCCACCACTCATAGGCGGCTCCTCGAAGCTGGAAGGCAGTGAAAGAAACCTCATTCGATCCTAATATACCCATAGTGCAGAGGATACGGTGACACTCCTCCAGAAATCCCAGGGCATCATCTGAAGCTAACCCACTGAATACAGGAGGATCATACTTCTTGAACCTCTCAAGCCTCCGCTGCTCATCCTTTGAAACCGCTGCCCTATCCTGGGGCTGACCTGGGGCTGCTGGAAGTACAGGAATAACCTTTGGAACCTAATCCACGTGCACTCGCTGCGTAGGAGTACGGGCGGCGGGAGTCTGTGCTCCTCTCCCGGCCTGAGATGTAGCTGCAGTAAGGGGAAGCAACCCTGCCTGATCCAAAGTGGTGTACATACTCATGAACTATTCCAGAGTCTTCTGAAGTGCTGGAGTGGTAGTAGAAATAGGCGTATCAGGTGCCTGGAATCCGGCTAGAACTGCTGGTGGTACCTCGGTGGCAGCTCGTGCAGGTTCTCTAGCTGTAACACGTGCACGTCCTTGCCCTCTACCCTGACCCTGGCCTCTAACGGCTGTAGTAGGGGGTGCGGGTGCCTGATCATCTCTGGTAGCACGTGTCCTAACCATCTGTGAGAGAATAGAAGACAGAAATTTATAATTGTGACATCAAATATCGCACGACAAGGAAATCAAATGAAGTGGAATTTTCCTAACAGTTACGTAGCCTCTCGCAGATAAGTACAGACGTCTCTGTATCGATCCGCAAGACTCTATTAAACCGGTTTGTGAGTCATGACTTTTATGAACCTAGAGCTCTGATACCAACTTGTCACGACCCCGGTTCGCCCTCTATGAACCATCGTGACGACACATAGTCTCTACGACTAGGTTAGCCTAACAATATAGAAAATAAACCAATTTGCGAAAGAAATAATAAAACAAAATAGTGAAATAAAACAGTGTTTAAAAGTGTCGCTCGGCATACATAATATCAACTCTCGAAATCTAAATACATTTTTCAAAACCTGGAATCTCATGATCACAAGCCTTTGAATGTCTACAAGTATCTTACTCCAGTATCTAACCCAATTTCTTATTTTCAAATAGAATAAGCAGGAAAAGAAAATACAATTAAAGCTACTTTAGTGAAAATAGGATTTTCAACAATTAGCACAAGTACACACTCGTCACCTCACATACAAGGCATTTCAATTACCACAATACCAAATCCTAAGGGGAATGTCCCCCACACAAGGTTAAGCAAACCACTTACCTCGAACCAACTCAAAATCAACCCGAAACCACGCTCTTGCCACGAGTACTCGACTCCAAATAACCCAAATTTATTCAATTCAATTGTAATGTAAATAACACTTCAAATAAGTGATTCCACAAAGAAATTCTAAGCTTATACGCGAAATTAGGAAAAATGACCAAAACGCCCCTCGGGCCCATGTCTCGAAATCCGATAAAATTTACAATTTCAAAATCTTCAAACTCTCACGAGTCTATACATATCAAGAATACTAAAATCGGAGTTAAATTGGCCCCTCAAATACCCATTTTAAGCTCTCTTAATCTCAAGCCCTAATTGTCTATTTTGCACTGATTTTTCCCTAATTATTCACCACTAATTAGATCTTTAATCACATACAAACGAGTTATGAAGTTAAAAATTTTACCTCCAAGTAATTCCCCTTTGGTTTCCTCAAAAATCTCCCTCAAAAGCTTCAATCCCGTTCAAAAATGGTGGAAAAATGAAGAAGGGTCGCAGATGGGCTATTTAAATATTGCCCAGATATTCCTTCTTCGTGAACGCGGAAGGACCCTCGCATTCGCGAAGTACAATTTCACTTGGGTCCAACTTCCTTCATCGTGAACACGATTTCCAGGCCGCGAACGCGATGCAACAACTCCTCCAGCTTCGCGAACGCGGGAGAACCTTCACGAACACGAAGCATTAAAACTCCCTCAGCCCAGTTCCTCTTCGCGAACGCGAAGAAGGAAACCAGAACTGGGTTGCTGCAATTTTTCTGCAATTCCAACAAGTTCCAAAATGACCCGTTAAGCATCCGAAACAAACCCGAGGCCCCCGGGACCTCAACCAAACATGCCAACCAATCCTAAAACATCATTCAAACTTGTTCCAATCTTCGGAACGCTCAAAACAACATCAAAACACCAATTTAGCATCAGATTCAAGCCTAAGAACTTCAAAAACTCACGATTTCGATCAAAAAGTCTATCAAACCTCGTCTGAAAGACCTGAAACTTTGCACACACGTCACATTCAACACTACAGAGCTACTCCAACTTCCGGAGTTCCATTCCGATCCTCGGATCAAAATCTCACTATCGAACCAGAAACTTAAAAAAATTCAACTTTCGACATTTCAAGCCTAAATTAGCTACGGACCTCCAAAATACTATCCGAACACACTCCTAAACCCGAAAGCACCCAATGGAGATAACAGAAACCTCGAAATTTCATTCTGAGGCTGTCTTCACACTGTTCCGACTACGATCAAATTTCCAGAACTTAAGCTCTCATTTAGGGTCTAAGTGTCCGAAAACTCTCTGAAACTCCAAATACTTCCTCCCGACAACTCACAATAGCAGAAACAAACATGAGGAAAGAAGTTAATATGGGATCGGGGCATAAATTCTTAAAACGACCGGCCGGGTCATTACACGATGAGACAGTTGTCCCAATAAGATTTGTTAGTGAAAATAGAAATGTACCTTATTTAGGGTTCCCCTACTATATAAAAGGGACACCAATCATTTATAACACATCATCAATCATTGGCAAAAGAATATACTCTCTTACTTATTCATCAAAATTATCCCTTAACTTTATTGTTGTCACTTTACTGTTCTTGTTGATCTACCTCGAGGCTATCGTAGCTCGAGGTCAAGATTTGCTAAAACACTTGTTTGATTCAACTCACTTCTTTAATTTATACGTTAGATTTCTTAGTTATTAATTAGTATTGAATTAAACCGCATATCTTTAAAACCACAAATAAATTTAATTGTTACTCGTATTTCGAGGTAAACAGAAAACTAATCTAGTATGAAGCTTTTAAGCAGACATTGTTTTTTGTTTTTTTCCTTGTCTTTTGATTGTTTTTTTCGACTTTTATATGCTTCTTGGACTTCAAAGAAGTGGAACTAAACCCAATATAATAATAACTTTTGCCGCAAATTCTTTTGATAGAATAGTAGTAGCTCACTACTAGAAATCTGTCAAAATTCGTCCAACATATACTAACCGAAATCGGTCAGAAAATATCTAGATTGCTCGCAAAAGTCAAATAAAAAATTTTACTAAAAAATACCGACCACTTTCGGCCGGAAAAAGTGGTCCCACAATGAAGAAATACTACTTTATCTG